TTTTCTTTTTTTTTTTTTTTTTTTTTTTTGGGAAATATAAACTCGAGGTTTTTAACATTTTTATGCTATTAAGGTATAGCCCATTACTGGATATTCCTCGCGTTGGTAATCAAAGTATGAAGCGGGGAATGTATATCCAGAAATGTCTTCTGCTGAACAGAGACGATTAGTGGATGATCTTTAGTCTATTTTAATCTTACCACCATTTATAATAACCCTAGTTATGAATTGATGCATCCGCCAGGAAGGCCTAAATGTTTAATTTATTCCTCTGTCCAGGAGGGGGAAGTAGAAGCTGTTGCTATGGTACAATCATATGAAGATGGAGTGCCGCCTGGATCTCATAAGACAAGGCTGACTGCTCTTAATGTATTCATTTTAACTTCAAAATACTCCTGTTATATATTTTGCTTTTGTTGAATATGATGTGTGTTTGATGCCTTTTCTTTTACTTTCACATTCTAACTTCCGGAAATAGGTTCTGCTTATGCCTCATAACTTTCTGGAACAAGAGTTTCAATTGCAATAGATTGCATGTTTATTGCTAACAAGGGAGTGCAGCTAGTGCTTTTTTTGTCATGGTAATTCAAAGAAAATTGAAAAATTATATCATGACATGCTTTTGCAATTTAAGCTAGGATTTCACGTGAAAAATTGGGACGCACTTTTGCTGTTGATTATGAGATCCATGTTAACCATTGGCCAAAGTGCAATCTTTTACAGTGTATCAAATTCCATCTGTATTTCAATATAAAGAGGAAGATTTGGTACTTGCCGCTGATGACCCGTTGAAACGATGAGGTGTGATATTAAGTGTTTTTGTCTGATAGTTTGTTATTACAGGTTCCTCCAATGGGTTTATTTTACCCAACGCTTTTGGTTCCAGACATCTATCCTCCGCCACCACGTTCTTGGTAAGTTAAGTACATATGATATCACTAAATCCTTTCTCCCTCCTTCTATGCTCAATAATTCCATCTAAATAGGTTTAATGATTATGATGATATGCTTGAGGACACATGGCACATGGACTTCCCTGGTGGTAGTGCATTTCCGATGTGGGAGAGCTACCCAATTTTTCAAACAAAGCCAAAGAAAGAAGATAATATTGGTCTAGCTGAAGCTATTACAAAGAGCATTCTTTTGACAGGTGATTATGGAAATATCTTCTATAATGTGGTAGAATTTGAATATACAGTTCCTGAACCTTGTTTTATACAATTGACAGGGCGTATTGACCTGCAGAGAAAATTGTTTTGCAGCATGCAACTGGTTAGTTATTTCAACACTCAACCTAGACTTCTTTTGCCGTGGTTCGAAAACATGACATTTTTCGATTCTCCAGATTGGTGGAGCTGCACTGAGTGACGGTCTCATTCCTGCTGTGGAGGAAAGGTTTGTTTCAAGTCCAGTTTTGCTTAAACATTAAAGGGAAAAAGAAACAATGGCCCTGTTACTAGAAATTGGACATAATAATATATACATATAATTAATGAATATGTCACCCTCGGTTTGGAAGAATGTTAAATCATAACTAGATGACTGCATTTTGGTATATTATCAGGTAAGTGTTCACAAGTAGAATATAGTTCACAATTTCCTAAGCTATGGCTAATTACTTCAGGGGATCACTAGTTTGCTTTGGTGCTCTTATGGTAACTGTTTTCTTTCTTATGCAGAGTATTACATGCAATCCCTTCACATGAAGCAATTGATACTGTGGAGGTGAGTTTTGAGCTTCTGAATTCTGATTATTTTCTATTCTAGTTGTTCTTTCTTCTGTATGCATTTCTGAACAATCTTGTGGACCTTTATCTTCTCTTTGTGAGATACATGTGTCAGCTTCTTCATTTGACCAAATAGACTTTATATCAGTCCTCCCCCCATTATCATCCTGAAGTTTCATTATGTGTTTGGCCTTCTCAAAAGTATCCTGCAGATGATTAAGTTGTTTTAGCATGCCGAGGACAATAAATGGGGAAAACGGATGGAAAAGGGAAAGGAGAAGTGAAAACGAATATATGATAATTCCATGACATTTTCTTAGGAAGCATGGTATGAAATGCGATTTTAGCCTATTTAGAGCCCGCTGGGGCCAGTTGACCGAAAGTAGCTAAAAAGCATCAACTATTAATAAGCAGCACTTGTGCATTTGGATAAAAGTGCTTAAACTGATCTTAAGCAATTGATGTGTTTGGTGAAAAGGGATGATAAACACTTTTTTCAGTTAAAATGACTTAAATCTTTTGAAAGTTGTTTAAATGAAAACAGGGTTGGTTATTGAAAGATTCTCTGCAAATTGATATAAATTATTTTGTGATAAATACAGTAGGACGTTAGTGCAAAAAGGAGAAGGATGAACGGTGAAAAAATGGAACGGAGAGGGAGTTAGAAGTTTTGTTTAAAAGGGTATTGCGGGGATTTAAAATTGTTGGTGTACAATTTAAATTGGAACGTGTGCGGGTAAATATTGAATAAGTGCAATAGAAACTATTATGTATGTATGTATGTCCATCTTTTTTTTTTTGGATTCACACTGTCCTTGTTGACTTTCGTCATTCTGTTTTCTTATTTTCCCCCCTCTTTCTATAGTAAGTTTCTGACAGGAATTTGCAATTTACATTTTGTGTACATATTAGGTCTTGCAATCAAGAACGAATCCAGCTTTTGTGTCATGGAAAGGCGGAGCAGTGAGTAGATGCTATTTTTATAAGAAGTTCTGCTTTATGTTCATCACACTATTTTTTAGTTGCTAAATCATACCATTCTGGTAATATGGCTGTGATACAATTATGAACCTTGTATAATAAGGTGAGTTGTAAGGAGATGATAAATAATACGAAACTGGCCTCCACACTGCAGTAATCAAATAAGAAAAAGGAGTTATGAATAATACTTCGTCCATTTCAAGTTATGTGGCATAGTTTGACTGGGTACAAAGTTTATGAAAGATTTTTGGAACTTATAATTTTAAATATGCCATTAGATTTCTGTGGCTATAAAAGCATACCATTGTGGGTAAAATAGGAAGTTTAACAATAAATTATTTCTAATTATAGACAGGTGTCTCTCCTTTTGTAATAGACTAATTAGGAAATAGTGCCACATAAAAATATAACGTAGGGAGTGGTATCTATTGTAGCATTACCTGATGGTGTGTCTTTGCCACCAAGGAAATAAAAGGTCACTGAAGAGTATTTCTCTTAACGAGTAATGAAGCTGTTAATTGCATCAATTGACCTGTATTACTCCAGCTATATAGTTTAAAGAACAATTGATGCTTCGGACATTGAAACTACTCTGGTGCATAATTTATTAATAATATCTCTCAGTTCAAGATTAGGAGCCTTAGAGGGACAAGCATTGTATTGTGTCATCCTCTGTGCTTTTAACTGTAGTTCCTTAAAATAACTCAGTAGTACAATATTATAATTAGTGGAATTCTTCTTTTCGAATGACCACCAGTTTAATTGTCTTCGTTATGTCCAGCAAGCTAAAAAATATATAGCACACAAAAAATGAAACGAATTTCTTTTAATCATGCATAAGGTGACACCTGTTCAACCAAATCCCAGTATCATACTTCATTTTAAGTGTGATTGAGGACTCCTTAAAGTTAGTTTCACTTTTACCGTCTAAATATTTCTTTGCAGATCCTCGGCATTCTTGATATTAGTAGGGATGCATGGATTCATCGAGAGGACTGGATTAAAAATGGGATCCACATTCGCAGTGGGAGAAAGTACAAGGATTCATATTATCTTCAAGCACAGGCAATGTGTTATATAAATTCATGATAGGTATAAATGAGTGTTGCTCATCCCGTAGTATATTCAGTTGAGACTACATCACAGTTTAATAAAAATCTCTGCAGGTATTATGTGTTGGCTTTTCTTTTTCTTCTCTTTCTTTCTCTCTCTCTCTCTCTCTCAGATTGAATGGGATGGGCAAAGAGAATGGGAAGGGGGCAGAAATTGATCTAGAAATGATGAGGCTATGGGAGGGTAGGATTATTATCTTTCCTTTTTATCTTGTCAAAACATGATTCTTGTCCTTGCCATCTGGTTTTGTCTTGTTCTTGATATATTGCTGGGGTTGTGATGATATGCTTTCATATTGTGGCAATTATTTTGAGAGATCATAATCGGAAGTATAAAAAATAAGCAAGTTTTGGTCATCATAATTTTGTGTCATGCACATGTATCCGGAATTTTTGGAGATAGAAGGAGTACTCGACTGACACATTTAGAAAACATGATCACATTTATGTACATTATTATTTCAATAAAAACAAGTATGCAGTAGATAGTTTTTTTAGGTACTTAATGTTTGATATCCTCTTCTGCTTCTTCATCTTGCTTTTCCTTGTTTGGATTTTGGATGCTCTTAAAAGTTCTTAGAGGTGGTTTACACCTTGCTTCTCATATAAAATGAAAATGAAGAGAGAGAAAGAGAGAGTTGGTCATGTAAACATCAAGCTACTGGGTCAGATATGTCGAATACACGCCTACTGGGTCATACAGTAGTAGCCTTTGAAAAGTGTGCATGGTTTCTGTAGGTTGTGTGATGTTATTGCTTATTAACATTTCTTTCTCAATTCCTTTATTGTTCAGCTTCCTGCAGGGTTATGAGATTGAGAAGACGGAAACTGGGGCTTGAGGGCCACATTTTCTTCGGTCTTTGTGGCTTCTATTGAAGACAGAGGAACTGAGCGCTTGACTCCTCCCTCCCGACTCATTCAATTAATGTTTGTTATCATCTCATTCTGGAGTACATAGTAGCACTTGTGAAAGAGGACATCGACAGTCCTGAAAATCAGTCAAGACAAGTTAAGAGTCCAATCTGGAGTACATTCTGGGTAACTAAGTCACTGTAACGGGTAATTTAAATCTTGCTAACCATTGTTTTCTAGTAGTTGACATATTGAGCCTATTGCCGAACTCAATGTCATTCAACTGAATATCAATTTGATAAATGATTCAAAATCCTATTAGTTGCACGTCGTTGTTCATGCTAGTTACTATGTACCATTGCTGTTCTGCAGCCGACATATTCACTCACTCCATCCAGATTTGTTTTCCAATTCCCTTTTTTAATCAACCTTTTGACTTTCAACATATTTTTAATTACTAGTCCAGCAAATATATTAAAGGGAAAATTATGTGTCACAACAAACATTTATACCGTATTTATCGTTCGTAGCTATACTTTCGGTAAATTTACCATTCATAGCTTATTTGAATTTTATAACAAATTCATGAAATAAGAGATTAAATGTTTTGATCTTAGTTGGTTAAAGAACAAGTTTAGTCAGCGGAGGTCTTGAGTTCGACTTTCAACATCTTATTTCTTGTATTTATGTATTTCTCCTTAGTTGTATTTGTTGCGTGAACGAATACAGTCAATACATCAATTGTATCCTTTGTATACATCCCCGTATACAGTTGATACAATTGTATCCTTTGTATACAAGAATGTATCATTCGTGCAACGAATACAATTGCGTGAACAAATAGAGTTGATACACTTTGTATTCGTTGCGCGAACAAATACAATTAACACATGCTGTATTCGCTGAGCATTTGAATACAAGTGATACAAATTAGTAACAATTGAATAGTATCTACGAATAGTAATTGAGAAAATTATAATTTTACTAGGATCTAAACTATAATGGTCTGTGAAAATTCCTCTATATTAAATGTCGTGCTCTATCAACTGATTTCACATAAAATGCAGCGGAAAGAAACCAAAACTGCTTGACTTGAAAAGAAGAGAAGAAAAGGAAAAGTCTCAAGTTATCCCACATCGTTAACTTAGTAAGTATAAAAGCCACGAGGTGAGTATTAAAAGGGAAGAGTGAAGAACGTTGTAAACTTAAAAAGGGTCGGTTGGCTAAATATGCCACACTCGCCCGAGTGGTGAGTGCCGTATGGATATCAAGACATATGGCCGACATAATTTGTGGAATTCTCATAGGGTTGGCTCGCTGGCCGACCCTCCATTGCTTCTCTCTTAAATTTTAGTACGTTGTTTTGTTTACTATATTAAAAATATATTTTTATTTAATTATTATATTAAATTAAAAGAAAGATAATATTTTTTTGTTATTTATTTATTTCTTAAATTATTTTTCAAGACTTTTAGAAATACTATTATTATTGTAGGTAATATTTTGAAAATATACTTTATTTTCTTAAAGTCAAAAAGTAAACGGAGGGAGGGGAACAAGCGCTCCTTTGTGTGAAATATGACTCTTTCGTCTAATGAGCTTTTCTTGAACTTTATTACTAAAATTTCTGATGAGTTCTGTGCTACTTTGTGTAAAATATTATGTAACTATCAAGTGATACTGTATAGAAGTCCGCCACTTATTTTTTTAGTCTTATTTTCTTATATTTAGAATATTTTATAAACTTTATTTTTTTTATTAATGCGATTAATTATAGTCATATAAGTAAATAATTTTACATCATAAATTTATTAAGTGTCTTTTTTGTTAAATTGCAGTATATAGAATGGGACGAAAGCAGTTACCAAACGGACAAAAGCAGTTAGCAAATGTCTCGTGTTTTCATTTGCCTAACGTAGCTCAAACTTGAAGTATCACTGAGGAGAATTTAAATTATAGTTCAACGTTTAGGAGTAAATTTGTTTTTTTTTTTTTTTTTGAAATATTGTGATATGTGGAATTCATTTAAGTCATGATGCAGCTCCATTAAAATTAAAGATAAATATACAAAGGAGAATTAACTAATAATAAGGGTGTGAATAACCGCAAAGTATAGTTAAATTAACAATAAATACACAAAGGAGAATTTTTAATGCAAGCGCCAAACATCCGACCAAAAGTACGTAGATTTAAGAAAGCATTCTTATTTTTTGTGAGAGATTCTTAAATTTATTTTATAAAATTTGTACACTAACAAAAAATATGCTTTCTAAGCAACAAATTAATCATTTAAGACAAAAATAACAAGTTAAAAAAAAATATATATATAGAACGAAGAATACAAAGAATAAAGTGGTGGATTATCGGATGTTGAGGTCCAGAACTCAAACTGAAAATTTTGATTTGGCTATCATCACGAACAAAAAAAGGAAATGAACGTACATAACATAATAGTTTAAGTTTTGAGTATTACTATTGTTAAAATTATTTATACCTTCTAATCAATTTAAACAATAACTGCAGTCCATTTTATTAAGTAGTACTCATCGGTGAATATCTAAAATAAATGACAAATAACCCAATATAATATGTTGAATTATACTAGAAAGAAATCGGTGCATGAATACTTTTGTCTTCATACTATTTCAGAGAAGATTGTAAAAGAAATTCATTATGTTGACGATATATATAACTTAATTCCTATATAAAAGGATAAAGTTAAAATTAAAGAGTGAAATAAATGTAGTAATTAATGAGCTTAGAAAATTATCCTAATTTATGAATTTATTGGTATAAAATAACCTCAATTAAATAACAAAACATAACACTTTTATTTAAAAAATTATTTATATAATAATAATAATAATTTAAAGTAAATTTAGGATCTTCAAATTTTGGGGGCCTAAGGCAACTGTATCAGTGGCCTTAGAGCCGCTCCTGGACTTCTTCATGGTAGTTTTACTTGGTCTTATTAGTGTCTTCTTGTGAGTTTATATATATATATATATATATATATATATTAAAGGAGATGAATGTAAAATCATAAAAGGTCCATATTTGCCCCTCAACTTTATGAAAAGGTTTATATATACCCTTTGTCAGAAGTTTGGCTCATTTCGAACCTAGCCATTATAATCTTAGCTCAGATATACCTTTATGATCAAATGGCAGCCACGACGGATAATTTATCCATTCAGAAATGGACATGTGGCCTTTTAAAATAATACCAACCCATTTAATTTGAACCCAATCGGATATGATAACCCATCCATACCCGACCCATTTAATTTAACCCTTTTTCTTTTAACACTCGAAAATTAACTCGACCACCTTTAATCTCTGACCAATCTCGACCACCATGTCACACCAAAGAAAATTGAACTTTCTGTTGTTTCTATTTCTCATTTCTTTCTTATTCTACTCTGTTTTACTTTTTAACCCATTTTTATTAACATAAAAAAAGTATACTAAATAAGTTGTCGGCTAGGTGATGAATCCCATTTTACCTAGTAATTCATATACTAATAGCTAAAATTATAGTAGCTAAATGAAGCTATTTTGCCTGTATAAGTTGACGGAAGCTGTGTTGATTTGATAGTTGTAGACTCGTGGGGTGGTTCTTCAATTTCCGGAAAAAAATACCGAAGAGTATACGGTCAGCACCACCGTCGTTGCTGCCTTTTTTACCATCGCTATTGGAGGTTTTAAAAGGTGTGTTGCTTGTTGTAGACTTGTAGGTAGTTGTCCGTTTGCCAGAAAAGTTGTCGGAGTCAGAAAAGCAAGAAATCAGAGAAGTTAAAGACTTCTTTATTTTATAAGGCGACGTGTCCATTTCTGAATGAATAAATGTTAAGAGATACCAATGTAATAGTGAAGAGAAGCAGTATATTTTGCTTGTGATTGACATGGTAGTTAGTGGTTAGGCAGCTAAAGGTTGACAACTGTGTTTAATTATTAGTAGTTAGTGATAGATTAAGTATGAGTTAGTAGTTGTATAAATACATTGGGAAATTGATAAAATAGTAGACAGTTTCATTTCCATACACTGCATTCATTTCTCTTCTTCCACAGAAGCTCTCAAGGAGCTCCAATGGCTAATTTCTGCCTCAGCTCCCATGGATTTTAGCATGGTATCAGAGCAACTGATTCTGGTGTTTTACCTGTTTTCCAAGCTAATTACACAAGGTACCCTGTAAATCTCAACGTATTCGAGTTGGTTTCTAGCTATAGCGGCGGAAAAACTCACATACATGCATCTCTGTTCATGAACTCGAATGACACTCCTGGTTCACTACTCGTACCTATTAAGCTCACCGGATCGGAAAATTATGATTTATGGAGTAGATCGATGAAAATTGCTCTCTAAGCTAAGAGGAAGCTAGGGTTCGTGCTAGGTACCTGTAAGAAGGAACTGCTTGAAGATGAGTTGCACGAGCAATGGGAAACATGCAATGCAACAGTCCTTTCATGGATCATCAACACAGTTTCTGAAGGTCTACTCAGGGAAATCGTGTATGCCTCAGATTCCTACATCGTGTGGAAGGACCTTAAGGAGCAATTTGACAAGGTCAATCACATGAGGATTTTTCAAGTACACTGTCAAATAGCCAATCACTCACAAGGTACGAACTCTGTTTCAATATATTTTACCAAATTGAAGGACTTCTGGGCTGAATAAAATGCCATGGTACCGCCTCCTGGTTGTAACTGTGCAAAATCTAAGGAATCAGTAGAACATTTTCATCACCACAGGTTATTATAATTTTTAAGTGGACTAAATGACTCGTAAGACCAAGCTAGGAGACATATTCTATTGAAATTGACCCTTCCTACAATTAACCAAGCCTATGCTATGATAATTGAAGATGAGAGTCAACACTTAGTTGGTCTAAACACAGTCACAGCAACATAGATCCTTTAGCTATGCATTTAACTTGTGGACAACCTTATAAAGGTAAGAGACATTTTTCGCAGTGTGAGTATTGCAATATAAAAGGCCATAGCAAGAAAAATTATTACAAATTGGTTGGGTATCCTCCTGATTTTAAGTCTAAGAGGAATTTAAAGCCTGATTTTGGAGGATTTGGAAGCCAAATTAATCATGGTGGACATACTGGATATGGTAAACAACCCTTCAATGTTGTCAACAATGTGACTAGAAATGTTGACATACAACTATCATAGATGCATTATAAAAACCCAGGACCAACTGAAGTCAAGACTCAGTATTTTATTGAAGAACAATATAAACAGATCCTCAATTTGCTAAGCAATGATGTTGGAGAAGAGCAAGCAATGAGGCAAACCACATCAATGTAGCAGGTAATGCAATTTGTATGATGTCTAAGGTATCAAGTGATGATGAATGGATAGTTGATTATGGAGCTACTCATCATGTAGCTTCTAAGAAA